AGGTGGATCTCTGTGAGTTCAAGACCAGCCTCATCTACAGAATGAGTTCCAGGACAGCTAGGACTACACAGAGACTACACAGAGAAACCCTGTCTTGGAAAAGAAAAGAAGAGCTGGAGAGATGATGCAGTATTTGAGAACACTGATTGCTCTCCCAGAGGACCTTGGTTTAATTTCCAGCACCCACATGGCAACAGCCACCTGTAACTATAGTCTCAGGGGATTCTTCTGGCCTCTGTGAGCACCAGGCGCATGGTACATAAACATACATGTATGCAAACACCCAGACACATAAAATAAATATTAAAAAAATAAAACAAAACCACAGACCTAAATGTCAGAGGGAAAGCTGTAAGAATCTTTTGTTTTGTTTGTTTTTGCTTTTGTAGACCAGGCTGGCCTCAAACTCACAGAGATCTGCCTGCCTCTGCCTGCCTGAATGCTAGGATTACAGGCATGCACCATGGTGCCTGGCAGCTATAAGAATCTTTACTTTAAAAAAAAAAAAAAAAAATATATATATATATATATATATATATATATTCTATATATATAGAGAGAATATATATATTCTCTTTTTTTATATCTATCTATCCCTATCTATCTATCTATCTATCTATCTATCTATCTATCTATCTATCTCTATATCTCTCTATAGCTGTATCTATCTATATCTGTTCTCACTGTGAGCCCTGACTGGCCTGAACTAACTATATAGACCAGGCTGTTCTTGGATTTACAGCAATCAGGCTTCTGCCTCCTGAGTAGGAATAAAGCCATACCACATACCATCACATCTAGCTTGAAGCTGCAAGACTCCTTCAGGAAAATGTAGTAAAAGCAAGCTTTTGTGGCCAGTGTGATATTGCAGAGGCAGAGGCAGAGGCAGAGGCAGAGGCAGGTGATCTCTGTGAGTTTTAGGTCAGCCTGGTCTAGAAGCATTGGTGACCTCAGGTTCAGCAAAAGTTTTCTTAGAGATCAAAGGCCAAAGAAAGAGTTGGGAGACTGCCATCAAAGTTAAGGACTCCAGGAGGAGCTCGGAGAGACAGTTCACCAGTTGACGGCATGTACTGCTCAAGTCCAGTGCCCAGCACCCATACTGGGCATTTCACAACCGCCTGCAACTCCAGCTCAGGGGAGATCTTAACCCTCTTCTAACCCTAACCCCCAAGGGCACCCTCACACAAGTGCACAAACCCATATGTAAACAGACATAGTGCTGCACACTAAAAAATAACTTCATATGTATGTGTGTTTTGTCTTCATGTGTGGAGGCTAGATGAGAGTGTAGGATTCCACGAGACTGGAGTTACTGGAGGCTGTGAACCTCCGTGCGGGGGCTGGGAATTGAACCCAGATGGTTCCATGGGTAAAGGAACTTGTCACCAAGCCTGATGATCTGAGTTCAATCCCTGGGACCCACATGGTAGGAAAGAGAGAACACATTCGTACGTCTGACTTTCACATATGCACTGAGGCATAAACATTCACACACACACACACACACACACACACACACACACACACACCACACAGAGAGAGAGAGAGAGAGGGAAAGAGAGGGAGAAACCAAAACTATGATTAAAAAGAAAACACATATGACCCTAACCCAAACCAAATAACCATATTAAAACACGAATAGAAGAACTGACTAGCTCTTTTTCAAAAAAGAATATAATCAACAAATTCAAGAAAAGATGCTCATACCCACCAAGGCAGCTATGCGAAAACAGCAATGACAAGAGCTGGAGACGAGGAGAAACTATCCGACAGCAACGGGAATATAAAAGTTTGTGAGTGCTAAAACACAGCTGATGGGTCACACGGGTTCTCTCCTGGCTACTGAAAAAGACGGGCCTTAGCATGACGGGGGGTGTTAGCGGGCTTGTTCCCAGGCTCCCACCCGTAGGGGGTGCATGTATTAGTTACTGTTGCTGAGATAAAATACCCAACAGAAATCTTGCATGGCTCGGGATGCCAGTAGTTTCAGGCCATCACAGAGGGCAGGAGGGTGGAGAGGCTCTCTCCGGGGTGAAAGTAGCCAGGCTTGTTCCTTGCAGCACAGGCCGCAGGCAGGGACCTTCAGAGGCCACCCTCTGGAGAGCGCAGCTTCTAAGGGCTCCACAGCCTTCAACATCAGGTCCCAAGCTGGGGACTGAGTGTTCCAAACATGAGCCTGTGGAGGATACTCCAGTTTCCAAGCACAAGGTATTAGGAAACGGTGGTCATTTCTCCTCACCCACTCACCACAGCCATCTTTTGTGACGTGAGGTGGCCTCAAGTGGGACATCCTTCCACCTTCTTTCCAGATTCCCTTCTATTTCCTTCTTATGTGGAGAGGCAAGGTCCTGAGGACCCCAGGCTGGGCTTGGAGTGGCCTGTATGAATACACACGTCTCCTGCCTGGGCACCATGGCCATGAAGAGGCACAGGAGACCCGCATAAGAAGCAGCTGCTCTGCACACACACTGAGCAATCACATGTGCAATTCCATATACATGCACACGTGCACCAAACCCGGATGTCACTCTGTGCAGCCACAGGCATGCACACGGGTTCACATGTGAGTGCAACCCCACACTGAAGTCACCCGGGCACATGCATGTATACAGCAGCCACACACACTGTTTTGCTTTGAGATGAAGCATGGCCTGCTGGAGGGCTGTTGAGGTGACTGGGTCCGGGGCTGGGAGCTAATTAGCAGACTTGACAGAGTCATAATATCATGGTGTTGTTGAGATACAGGGGCCTAGTTGGGGGAAGAGGGCAGAAGCATGATAGAGGCATGCCCTGGAAAGATATCTTTCATCCCTGGCTCCTTCCTGCTGCTTTCTCTGCTTTCTGGTTATACAGTGCAGTAAGAAACCTTTTATACCACATTCCAGTCACCTCAAGACTGCCTTTCCTGAGGCAATGGAGCTAAACAAGCATGGGCTAAGCTCTCTGAAACCGTGAGCTGAAATAAATAAAGCTTCCCCTTTTAAGTGGTTTGTATCAGGTACACTTATCATAGCAAAAACAGAAACAAAAACAAAAAACCCATATGTGCTGCTTGTACATAGTCTCAGAGAAAGCTGTGTACACACTAGCATTTGCATGGCTGCGTATGCATACATCACGTTCCCGTGAATCCACAGGATGGGCCACATTCACACGCACTATAAGCCATGCTTGGTAAATCGTACCACCCCGGGGACCCTAACTTTCCCTATATACAGTAGTGGCTGTTCCTGTGGGGAGTAACTGTATAATTAGCCTGACTCACAGCTCTGAAGTTGCAAGCTGCAATTACTTTCCCATTTTATAGACAGGGACGCCGACACTCCTGGAAGTGAACTGAGAGATGTCACCAGGAAAGAATATCAATGGTGGGTCATGATTTTGGGTGAAAGGGGTCAGAGGAACTATAGGGTCAGGGCTGGTGGCACGATGTGAGAAGAACAAGCTGGCTTAAGAATGGGGGCTGATGGGACTGGGTGGAGACATGTGGATGGCTGAGGGCTGGAAGTAAAAGGCAAGGCACACTGTGCACCCCAAAGCCCCATGCTGTCACCTGCTTTGACTTGCCTGGAAAAAATAATTTAAACACCTTCAAGATCACAGGGAGACTACTACAGGTGCCCAGCTCCCACTCCCTCTCCTTGAGGACAATGTCCAGTGCCCATGCTTCCAAGCCAGACTCACAAAGCCCCATTTACTGTTCCATCAAGTGTGGAAGCATCTAGCAGGCACAGAGGACCAGAGGGGCTGGTCAAGAGAGTATTTTGGCTCTGCAGCAAACACCCGAGGCTGGGTGGCTCAGGAACCACAGATGTCCATTGCTCATAGTTTTGGCCTGCCCTCTCCACTTTGGTTCCACAGGGGACGGATGTCCTGGTCAGGTCGAAATACATTCTACATGTATGTGAAGGTGTCCTCACAAAATCCAGCACAATGAATATATGCCAAGAAAAGAAAAAGAAATGAAATTCACACACGGCATCATCCTTTACATATAAAATTCAAAGGTGCACACTCGCACAGACACACACACAGACAGACAGACAGACAGACACACACACACACACACACACACACACACCACGTAATGGAATAGTGTTCAGCCATCAAAAGGAATGAAGCATTGATGTGTGTGGCAACACAGAAGGACTGTGCAAAGCTCACACTCAGTGAAAGGAGCCAGCTACAAAGGGCCACAGAGTACATAATTACATGGAGAGGAAATGTCCAGAATAAGAAAACCACAGGGGTAGGAGGCAAACCAGTGGTTTCCAGGGGCACCGCGTAATGGGCTTGGGGTTTCCTTTTGAGATGATGGAAATATTTTGGAATTAGGAGTGGTGGTATCACAATTCTGTGGGTGTACCAAGTGTGCTGAGGTTGTACGTTCTAAAGTGATTCAAATTATATGATTTTTCCCTTCTCTTTCAAAGCATGAAAGCTTTCATTTGGTGTGTGTTCTCTCCCTTCCTGTCCCCTGTTTCTCCTCCGCCTCTTTGTCTCTCTTCTTATTTCTTGGTCTCTCTGATTCTGCCTCCCCTGCCTCTGTCTCCCTCTCTGTCTCTGTCCTGGGTCCCAGGAACCACAGAAAGAGGCCTTTGCCCCATTCAGAGCCCTCTCTTGGAACTGGTGCTGAGCCAGCCTCACTCCACATGGATGGGATACAGGGAGGAACAGAGCCAGCCCAGCGCCTGACCCCCGGCAGCAGGAGGTCAACACATGGTAATTACTGCCTTAACCACTACACTTTAGGATAATTTGCTCCTTGCCAGCAGCTAACCGACACCCAGCCCTCCTGCCTTTCTCTTCTTTCCAAACCAGCCCAGGAGCCACAGGCCCTCCTGGCTGGCAAACCACCTCCCCAACACCCTCCAAGCCTCTCCCACCCCGTGGTTCCTCCAAGGCCCTCCTGAAACACTGATTAGGAGGAGGAAGGAGGAAGATCAGCCTGGAAGGCCTTCCAATGTACATACAGAGATGACCCCAACCTCCCAGGGTACCTTTGTCTAGAACAGGGCCAAAGATTGCCAGGCTGTTGCTGACAGTGGTGCAGTTCCAACGCCGGCCTCGGAACTGGTGCTGGCACTCCTGGATGCCAGCCTTGACACCCTCAGCCACGCTGGGCATGATCTCCACGTAGTTCCTGCAGAAGCGCAGTTGCTTGGGTACCAGGCCTGGGATGCTGGCACAGAGGATCGGCTGAGTGCTCAGGGAGGAGTACTGGGGTCCCACGGCCAAGGACCTGGGGGGAAGACAAGGAGGTGAGTGAGACTCTCTCTGCAAACAGACAGACTCTGCCGTGCTCACGCGCTTGGCCTGATGCTGCTTCTGCCGTGAAGGACATCTAGAGACAGGACGTTGTTATGGTCCCAGGATGAACATCAGATGTCAAGCTGTCATGATCTGCTGTGTGCAAGAACCAGACCGGCATTCCGGCGGTCCGGGGCCCCTCAGCCTGTGGCTCAGGCTTCCGCTGGCCCTGGAGGATATAGGCACTGACATGGAGCCAGGATGAAGATGGCTGTGGAGGGGTCTCAGTGGATCCCAGAGCAGGTGGCACTGGTCAGCTCAGGAGGAGGGGAATGGTTGGGTTGGGGGGAGGGGGAAACACCAGCATCCAAGGCAAGGTGTGAAATCTGTGCTAAATTCATTCCTGCCTACTTTGGGCTAATCACCCCCAAGATATGAAAGCAAATGTCCTCATAAAAGGGTGAGGAGGGGATGGGAAGGAGAAGGCTGTTGGTAAAGTGCATGCCAGGCAAGCATGGGGGCCTGAGATAGGATTCTTAGCACCCATGTGAAAGCCAGGTTGCCATGTCTGTAACCATAGCGCTGAGGGTGAGGTGGGGCACAGAGACAGCCAGGGTAGCCAGCGACAGACCCTGGGTGTCTCCAGAATCAAAGTGGAGAGTTACAGAAGAGGGCATCAACGTTTGGCTTACACACACACAGAGCAGATATTCAGATCTTTCGTATAAAATGGCGTGGTCTTTGTACATAGCCAGCATGCCCTCTGTACACACCAAACCTAGATGATGATATTAACACAGAAGAGCGTCACGCTAGACTGCAAGGAATGCTCATGCCGGAAGCCCACACACATTCAGCACACATGCAGTGACTTTTCCAAGTATTTTCCCTTTTTTTTTTTTTTCCTGTTGGTTTTGTGTTTTTGTTGTTTTTTAAGACAGGGTCTCATGTAGCATAGACTGCCCTCAAACTTGCTCTGTGGCCAAGGATGACCTTGAACCTCTGATCCTCTGGCTGGAATCACAGGCATGAACCACCATGCCTGGCTCCCAATATCTATCGATTGTCTTCATTCTTCCTTTGGGACAAGGGCTCCTCTGTAGCCCCGGTTGACATGGTACTCGCTATGTAGCCTTGGGGGTCCTCTCGGATCACCCTTTGGAGTGCTGGGATGTCAGGTCTGTGCCACCACACACAGCTCTTTCCAAATACTTTCAATTTCCAGTCAGCTAAACCTGTGCCTGCAGGACCCTCACATACAGGGAGCTGACTGTACAAAATTCAACATCAATTTGTTTATTTATTGAGACGAGGTTATATGTAGCTCAAGCAAGTCTGGAACTCACTATGTAGCTGAGGATGACCTTGAATTGTTGATCATTTTGCTTCCACATCTCCGGCACTGGGGTTATAGGCACGCACCGCCACAATTTATGCTATCCTGGGGTAGGAGGGTGTCAAACCCAGGGTTTTCATTCACGTTAGAAAAGCTCTTATTGGGCTGGAGAGATGGCTCAGCTGTGAAAGGCTAGGCTCACAACCAAAAATACAAGAAAAGCATTCATCATCATGGTTTTGGTTTGTTTTTTGTTTTTTTGTTTTTTTGGATAGGGTTTTTCTGTGTAGCTATGGCTACACAGAACTGGAACTCTTTGTACACCATATTGGCCTCAAACTCAGAGATCTACCCTCCTCTTCCTCCTGAGTGCTGGGATTAAAGGCAAGTTCCACCAAACCTGGTTATCATCATTGTTTTTAGAAGTACTATTAGGACTCATTGTGTAGCTGAGGCTAGCCTGGGACTGTTTATGTAGTCCAGGCTGGGACTTAATGATCCTTAGACTCCTACTGCTGGGATTTTAGGCATCACCACAGCCAGCTTTTCTATACCACAACTGGCTAGGTCCTTTTGTGTTTGTTTTAGTTTTGCTTTCGACAGGGCTTCTTTGTGTAGCATTGGCTGTGCTAGAACTAGCTCTGTAGACCAGGATGGCCTGAAAATTACAGAGATTTGCCTGCTTCTGCCTCCCAAGTGATGGGATTAAAGACGTGTGTCACCACCACCTGGTGTGGCTAGGTCCCTTTGGAGACTGGTCAAGAGTGAAGAACAGAGTTTTTTTCATGGCTATGGCTGCCCCAAATGATACCACTATCCCGTTAAGTACCATCACTCACAACTCACAGTTTTTGGGTCCCTGGAACACCCATCCTGGGAGTCTTCCATAAAGCTGAGCTCTCCTGTCTCCTGAAACACTCAAGAGAGCTGTGTCACACACTACCACATGCCTGCCCTCGGTACAGCCTGTGCTTACACAGGGAGGGGCTGCTCTTTTCTCCTTCATGCTTTCTGTCTTTGGTATGAATAAGGCCTGTGGAGTGGGTGGGCAGGTTTCTCCCATGCACACCCACCCATGATTGGCCCCATGTTCATGGGAAGGCCAGCCCTGTGCAGACTGGGAACCGCATCTACTCTATGTAGCTGTGAGTCTTTCCTCTCCAGGCCCCTGACCTCCACGCTTAGTCTGGCTCAAAGATGACACCTTCCCTGCCTTCAGTGAGAATCAACTTGCATTCTCCTCTCTAGGTGCAGACCACCATGGCTGTCTGTGTCATCTGATGACACTAGATGGACCACATGGGCACCTCTGAGTATGGGGTGAGCAGACAGTTGGCAGAATGAAGAAACCACTGTCCAAGGTCCTGGCTTGAGGTCCGAGATGCGGCTATATGGAGTGGATTGGGTTCTATGCTCCTTGCCCTTAAGGATGGCAAAGAGGATGGGCCTGGCCAGGTACCCAGAGAAGAGATAAAGAGACTAGACCATGGAGGAAAGCCACTGCTGTGACTTGCCATCAGGACACTTGGAGGTGACCACCTTAAAACCAGAGGTCCCAACATGTCTTGTCAAGGCCACTTGCTTTCCTCCTATTATAGTGGATCCAGAAGGACTTCGGCTCTCCTTCCACCATTCCTCAGCCCTCCCACTGACCCCACCACACACTACACCCACACTCACCCCAAGACTCTCCTACCTGTGGAAAAGCACAGTTTTTCCTTGGGCAATGTCTGGGTAATGCTTTTCTTTCTTTATTTCCTTCCTTTCTTCCTTCCTTCCTTCCTTCCTTCCTTCCTTCCTTCCTTCCTTCCTTCCTTCTCCTCCTTATCCTTTTTGAGACAGGGTCTCTCTACATACCCCTGGCTGTCTTAGAACTCACTATGTAGGCCAGGCTGGCCTCAGATTCACAGATATCTGCCTGCCTCTGCCTCCCAAGTACAATTTCTTTCTTTAAACAGACACACACACACACACACACACACACTTATCTTTAGTTTGTTTTTATGGTATGGGTGTTTTGCCTGCATGTATGTGCCCTACCACATTTGTTTCTGCAGTGCTGGGGATCAAACGTAGGGTTTCATAGATGCTAGGCAATCATTCTACCCACTAAGCTGCATTCACAGCTCCCAGAGAAGCAGCATCTGTATATCCATTAAAACAAACAAACAAACAAAAAAATACTCCGTGAGTGCAGTTAACTTGGAAACATAGAGTAAGTGGAAAGCACAGTCATTCTCAAATGGCAGAAAAAGAGAACCTGGCCATTTCTGTCCTCACAGTAGGAACTGCCCAGGGCCAGTGGCCAGTCCTTAGGCGTGGGTGGTCTCCTTTATTAGATTCCAGAAGTGAGTACTCATCCTGGATTCTGATGATGTAGGGTTGGAAGATGGGCTAAAGAAGAAGATATTGGGACAGGAGGTGGTGGTGCAGGCCTTTAATCCCAGCATTTGGGAGGCAGAGGCAGGTGGAGCTCTGAGAGTTTGAGGTCAGCTTGGTCTACAGAGTGAGTTCAGGACAGCCAGGGCTACACACACAAAAAAAAGGAAGAAGGAAGAAGGAAGAAGGAAGAAGGAGGAAGGAGGAAGGAGGAAGAAGAAGAAGAAGAAGAAGAAGAAGAAGAAGAAGAAGAAGAAGAAGAAGAAGAAGAAGAAGAAGAAGAAAAAAAGAAGGAGAAGAGACACAGAGCCAGCCCTGAAGCTGCTGCTGCTGGCATAGAGTAGTCAGACCTCAGCTCCCTTCCCACCCTGATGGGAGTGGCCCCCAGGGAAGGCAGAGAGGGGACTTCCCAGGTCCATGGCTGCTTCCCAGCCCCCTTCCTCTAGGAATGCTGAGTCAGCCTGCTCTGCCTCCCCTCTTCTGGGCAGGTCCCTGCTCGCCACATCCCCTAGCTAGGAGGCCAGGGTGTGGGCAGCTCCAGCAGGCTCTCTGCTGCTCCTTCTCATAGATTTAAGGAGGTGGAAGAGAGCATTATCTGGACCCAAGAGCCACGTAAGCACCTTGAATCACAGCCTGGGTAATTTCTCAGTTCCCTGAGAGTTGGACCATCAGGAAAGCCCAGGCACAGAGGCCTTGTGGAAGAAATAGAGAGGGCTGAGAAAGAGGTGCCTGTTGTATGATGGAGAAAGGAAGAGCAGGGTCAAGGAGGTTCATTAAACTTCTGGATTTCAGTTGGGCTGTGATAGTCACTCTAGTTTTTAGTTCGTTTACTTCTTTCGATCTGCCTGTCTGCCTGTATTTGTTTCTTGAGACAGCGTCTCACATAACCTACGCTAACTTCCAATTTGTTAAGTTGCTAAAGATGACCTTGAAATGTTCATCTTCCTGCCTCTGCCTCCAGAGATTGCAGGTGTGAACTGTGGCAAGCACACTACTGATTAAACTACACCCAGAAATTCATTCTGCAGACCAGGCTAGCCTCAAACTCACAGAGACCTGCCTGCCTCTGCTTTCCAAGTACTGGGATTAAAGGCGCGTGCCACCATGTCCAGTTTTCCAAACATTTTCAGTTCTCAGCTGGCTAAGCCTATGCCTTCAGAGCCCTTAAATACAGAGGGATGGCTGTTCAGAGTTAAATACAGATTTATCTATCTATCTATCTATCTATCTATCTATCTATCTATCTATCTAT